AAAAAAAAAAAAAAAAAAATATATATATATATATATATATATATATATATATATATATATATATATATATATATATATATATATATGTATGTATATAATGTGGGAGAGTGAAGGAACCCTCAATTGTTGTCACGCCATGAATGGAAAAAAATAAACACACGTGCAATAGAGTAATTTCACATTTACTGACCTAAAACATATACATACATACATACATATACATATGTGTGTGTATATATATATATATATATATATATATATATATATATATATATATACATATATATATATATATATATATATATATATATATATATATATATATATATATATATATATATATACACATATATGTGTGTGTGTGTGTAAACACACACACATTAATCTATTGCCCGTGTGTTTGTTTTTTTCCATTGATGGCGTGACGACAATTGAGCGTTCGTTCAACCTCTCACATTTCAAAAAAAAAAATTTCCAGTTGTTATATTGAGATGTTGCATGACATTAGTTCGTTACCATCAAGTACGGAAAACAAAATAAAAGCAAAAAAAAAAAAAAAAAAAAAAAAAAACAAACATTAAGAGGAAATGATTTTTTATAAGTACTTTCTTCATTGCCATCCAAAATTTGTTAATACATTATTCAAAATCTAAATCTTGAAATTCTCCTTATAATTATAAGAACATTTCATTTCTCTTATGCTGAACTAGAGTAATATCGTTGTAAAGACACATTTTTTTTCTTTTTACTTTTTTTTCTCGTGCTGCCAATGTGTTTCTCATAAATCTACACACTGATACATGAACTTGATTTATAGTCCTGGTGAATTCGTGTCATGTAACTCTTCTCCGTGACAAAGATTCGAAAAGTCTACGAAATACAAACACAGCCAGATACAGCAACAACAACAACAACTACAAAAAAAAAAAAAAAAAAAAAAAAAAAAAAAAAAAAAAAACGAGTTGCACCATCCTTCAAAGGTGATTTAATCCCTTAGCCTAGATTGTATAGGTTCGAATTCTAATCAGGGAAGAACAATGGCTATATCGCATGTGGCATTGTATTACTCTGCCAAAACTTCCTGCAAATTTGCTAGTCGTGTCGGCTGTTTACGAACGACAACTTAACCGTGTAAATTAATCATAGTCACACATTACACAGACAAAAAAAAGAAGAAGAAAAAACTTCAGTTACAAGAAAGATATTACTTTTATATGATAACAAGACATTCCAAGGACCGGTTTTGAGTACATTGAAGTGGTTGTTTATATATTGAGATATTGTATCTACTAACAGACCTCGCTGTAAGGAAATGCCTGTAGTTCTTAAGAATAACTATTCCTTTTTACCTCGACTATATTCTTACAAAATATTCCAAGAAATATGAAAGGATTTGCCAGTTCAGCGTACGGCCTTGGTTCATCCCTGTCTCTGTGCCTTTTGAAAATCACTGCAGAATATTTACTGCACTAAACGAGGGCACTAAAGCAATAAGGGCCGTGTTCTATCGCTTGTGTTTTGTGAGAATAAATATTTCGTTAATTGCCTTTTGTGTGGCTGATGTGAGTGAAATCTAAACTGCCATATGCAGCAGAAAGCAACGAATATGAAGATGGATATTAATGTCCTAAAATAATAATGATCTTTTATGCAGATACCAGCTAATATATTGCTTAACTATTGCCTAGCTATTATTATCAACTATTATTGATTATTAACTAGTATTATATCAACTATTAACTATCATTAATTATCACTATTAAGTATTATTAATTATTAACTATTATTAACTATCACTATTAACTATTGTTAAATATTAACTATTATTACTATCATTAACTATCATCATTACCAATTAACTAGAAAATATAACTGCAATAAACGAGAGCGGAATCCTTGATTTATTCTTGCCACCATTGCATGTACTTGTTGCAAACTTTCCTCACCTGTTGCCTTTCACATCAATATGTCCAGGTCTGATTTTATAAGAAATGATAATATTAACAAGTTTTATGGAGAAAGGAAATAGTTGCATTATCATTATTGCTTTTATTGCCTTTCACATCAATATGTCCAGGTCTGATTTTATAAGAAATGATAATATTAACAAGTTTTATGGAGAAAGGAAATAGTTGCATTATCATTATTGCTTTTATTATTTTCATCATTATTATCATTATCACTTTTACCATTACTTTTGTTATTAATATCATTGTCATTATTATCATTATCATTATTGCTGTTATTATCATATTCATTATTGTCATCATTATTATCGTTATTATTGCTGTTATTATCATAATTATTTCTATTACTATTACTATTACTATTATCATAATTATAATGATCATTACCAGTGTGCGTGTGGTTATCACCGCCAAACTGTGTCGGATATTAAGGTCAAAACACGGAGAATATCAGCAATTTATGATACTTACGAATGCTAAGTGTAATGCCAAAGTAACAAGGTGCTGCACGAGGAACCGCTGGAGAGCTCTGGGGAATGTATGTGTGACAGCGCTTGACCTGGCACTCGCGGAAGGGGAAGGGGGCACTCTTGGGGTCAGCGCGATGTCAACTTCCCCCAATGAGGACTCACCTGTCGACCCCGACACTGATGACGAGGGATTTCAACTCGTTAAGGCAATCAAGGAAAAAATGAAGACGGCTTCACCTGACTCACGAGATTCCATGTAACTGACGAACCAACCAGAAAAAGGACCGAGAAGCGCGAAGTTCACTACACAAGCATTTGAACTCGGGACGCCACAGAGATGAGTTTAGTTCTATGAGCTCAGTGTCCTTATACCCATGCTGGTGGCAGATATTCCACTTGGGGATGGTGAATCCATGATATGTTATGCTGATGGCGTATGTGCTAGAGCATCCTCACAAAAGGGAATGCAAATAATCTCGACGACCTCACAATAAGGGCTCATGAGTGTGGATTAGTTATCTCTCACAGAGGAGACCAGAAGATTGACATGCCATAAGGGTAAATATCTAGTCGTTTCTCTAAAGAAGAGTCAACCTAAACTGATTTAATTGGCTTTTATAAGATCATTTGTAAACTGCCATGCACTGCACCTGTTGCACTATAAGGAATCAGAAATGAATAGCTTGTAGGTATTGCAAAATGAAGCCATGAGGATTTCCCTTGGTGCCTGAGAACAGCAGGAATGGCGAATATGAGAGCAGAACTAACCTTACCATCCATTTTTGAAAGAGTAATGTGGGTCGGCAGTAACTTGGGGTCAAAGCTCTGAGGAAATCCTTGTATCTTACTTATTTCCAAAAACAACTGCAACATAAAATCATGCAAGCAGGCGTGGCTAATCACACACGCGCGCGCTAAAAGAAATCGCGTTAGCAACAGTCAATGAACGCCGATGGTTGCCCACGCCTGTGCAGTTAGCAAGGAAGGAAAGTAAAGGACTAAACTAAACGAAACTAATTTAACGCATACATTAAAACATGTATTAAATAATTTATCTCCCTCGTTCGTAATGTCTTTCCCATGACCTCCCTCCCTACAGAAATTTTAAAAAGTACATGTAAAGGCGCGGTCATGAAGAAGTAAAAAAAAAAAAAAAGAAAGAAAAAAAAATGTGCGCATGACAGTTACAACGCATGCGCAAGTCCACCATTTCTGCGCACATTCTGGTCTTCTCAGCATGCGTTTGTGGTTGAGATGTTGCACGATACTTGCTCTAAATCTTATTTTCAATAAACGATACACTTGCTAGATTTTAGAAGTATGCCTACGCTGTTTGTGATCCTATTTTACTTTTTTCATTCCTATTCAGGTTTATGTAAATGAAGGGCACGACAGGTGAGGAAAGGCAGAATGTCGGAGAGGCGGAGTGTCGTCTCGGTATGTTTGAACACGCGCGCATGCACCCCCCCAACATACACACGCATATATATATATATATATATATATATATATATATATATATATATATATATATATATATATATAAACATACGCCCACACACACACACAGATATATATATATATATATATATATATATATATATATATATATATATATGTGTATGTGTATGTGTATGTGTATGTGTATGTGTATGTGTATGTGTATGTGTATGTGCGTGCGTGTGTGCGTGTGTGTGTGTGTGTGTGTGTGTGTGTGTGTGTGTGTGTGTGTGTGTGTGTGTGTGTGTGTGTGTGTGTGTGTGTGTGTGTGTGTGTGTGTGTGTGTGTGTGTGTGTGTGTGTGTGTGTGTGTGTCTATATATTGTTTATCTTTGTTGATATCTTTACCACTGTCTAATTAGATGAAGTTGCAAACATCTGGCTATTTAGTTTTACTTTCTCTTTGTTTCACCATTCATTCTTTACTTCTCTCTCTCCTTTTTCTTCCTTCCTTTCCATCATTTCTTCCTGTTCATATTTTTTGTGAGCAATATATGCCGATGAAAAAGTGATTTTAAAAACAATATGATGCCTATTTTCTTAAAGATATTTTGTGATTTTCACGTAGATCGTTAACATTGTTTGTACAAGCAGTTTTCACCTATATATTTTTGGTGATCTAAACTACAAAGAGACGAAATGTTTTGAAATTTTCTTCTTTTGTTTTTTTATTAAATAATCTGATTTTCTACTCCAGTGAGAATTAAAATTCTAAGATCACTGTTTAAGTAAATATTTCGGTGAATGTTCTGACGTCTCCCCCCCCCACCCACCCCCTCTGAGATATGGGATACTGGAAATTAGCTTTTTAATTCCAAATACAATTAATTACCTCTTAAGACTGGCATTTCGATTGAAAGAATTTGATTTTAAATAATATTACATATATTTATTCGTTGCAGAAAAATAGTGATTAAAAAAAAAAAAAAAAAAAAAATTGTCTGTGTTCACAGTAAGAAGTGAAATTAGGTTAATAACCAAAACACGAAAAAAATCAAGAAATTTTGAAATTTTATATAATTCTTTGTGAAATGATTATCATAATTACTTTTTGATGATGAAAACATTTTAAGATAAAACTGCTATACTAAATAGTAACTAAAACACGAAAAAATATAGATTTTTTTTCTGTATGCAATGATTATCATAATTACTTTTTGATGATGATGACATTTTAAGATAAAACTGCTATACTAAATAAAAACATCTCCATCTTAGAAGAAATCATAATTTGGCTTTCTACCCCTCAAAATACTGTATTTGCTGCAGGCGTGTACATGCGTTATGGACTTGCAATATACAAACATATTTTCTTTTAATTTATTATATACCAGAGCAACTTTTTTTTCTTATCAAGCTAACTTTAAAAATATGTTTGTCTTTGACTTCCGTGTAGTGTGGCTCTTTACAACAAAAGGCAAACATAATATTGAAAAAATCTAGTGTAATCCCTATCCCTTTGACCACTTCTATCTGTAATTATTACAATACCTCTTAGTCATTGTTATTTCAATAATAATACTCTTATTAGCCATCAACATGCAATGTTGCTCTGAGGGGATTGCAGAAGGGACACTTGGCCTCGCCCCTGTCGCCGGCGCCCCCTGCCCAATAGTAAACGTGTCCCTGGGGGCATCGGAACCAACTCCCTCGAGACACGCTCAAGGTAAATCGAGGCTGGAACCTTTCCCACGTGGAAAAACTCATATCACTCTCGGCCTTCCCTTTGCCTTGCATGAATTCCCCGAGCCGATGCTGAAAGTCCTCGTCGAATTTCACTCCCGAGTCGACAGGGAGTTCAGGGAGAGCGGATGTTGCTCCTGCTTCTTTTGGTCCTTTTTCTGTCCTTGTTCCTGTTCCTGCCTCCTTTGTTCGCGCTCCCGTATCTGCTCCTGCTCTCTTCATTAGTGTTCTTGTTCCTCCTCTTTTTCCCCTAGTTCCTGTTCCCGCCTCATTTATCCCTGTAGCTGTACTTTTATGCTGCATTATAATGCTGTACAAGTAATTCTCCAGCCTGTGCAACTCCCGCTGCACCTCCTCCACCAGCTGATGGGTGATGACATTTGAAGGGCAGAGAACGCGCGCCAATATTGCAAACAACAAGGCCATCACCTTGGCCTCTATAGCAGGCACGGACGGACTTCGGCTGTAAGTCTTCACCACTCGCCATATCTTCAAGAACCTGGCAGCTCCACGAAGCAGGAAATCACTGAACTCCACTAGGTTGCGGTTCTTGAGTTGGTTCACCCATCCATTTTGGAGCTTATTACTAGCTTGTTTATATTTCTGAGTCGTCATGGCAATTTCTTCCTTGAACTGATTCCATCCCTTTAGCTCTGAAAAGGCGAAACATGGATTAAAAGCAAGAGCTTTGTAGTGTGCAGTATTACAAAGCAGATGCACGACTGTATATATATTTTGTATGCTTAGATGCCATACTACTATAAATAATTAACAAGGCTTTAAAATCAATACAAAAAGAATTGAGTGTGAACTCTACCTAAACTATGCATATGGTAAAGGTGGATTAACAGTGTTTGGAAAATTGTTAATTTGAAACGCATTATGAAAAGGATGGATGGCTGTTTACAATCGTATTTCCTATGCCGAGCTCTGGCTTCAACATCTGCAGCAAATACATAGAAGCTCTAGCGACACCAGAACAGAGAGGAAAATTAAATAAACATGAAAGTGAAAGCTAGAGACTAATACGTTGCGTATTCATAGGGTAAGAATAGTGTGATGTCAGAGCGCAGGGTGGAAAATATAAAGTTACCTATAGATGGCGTCGATATGTAGTATACGTATAAAACAAAATTGACCCGCTCGTGCTCCTCCCGAACCACGTCCTTGAAACGGCGGAGGTGGAAGATTGGGTGGCCACATCTCGGACAGTTCAACACCTCTATTATCTCGTCCTTGTATTTTCCAAGGTGTTCCTCCATGGTTTTAGAATCGATTGTGTGGCCGCAGTCTTCCAGGAGGACGAATCTGCAATCCAGGTCACACAAAAACAAATATACTAATAATAAAAAGAATAAAACACTTTATCATACTCCTATCTGACAGTGCGCACGCATGCATAGGTTTCATGATTTTAATATTGTGCTAGCACCCGCCCGGCGTTATGTAATGATAGATACGAGTGATGATGGTGACGATGATGGTGGTGGTGGTGACGATGATGGTGGTGTTGATGATGATTATGGTAGTGACGATGATGATGGTGGTGACGATGATGATGGTGGTGACGATGATGGTGGTGGTAGTGGTGATGGTGGTGGTGATGATGTGATGGTGGTGGTGGTGATGATGATGGTGGTGATGGTGGTGGTAGTGGTGATGGCGGTGATGGTGATGGTAGTGGTGGTGGCGATGATGATGGTGGTGGCGATGATGATGGTGATTGTGGTGACGGTGATGATGTGATGATGGTGGTGGTGGTGATGATGATGGTGGTGATGGTAATGGTGGTGGTAGTGGTGATGGCGGTGATGGTGATGGTAGTGGTGGTGGCGATGATGATGGTGATTGTGGTGACGGTGATGATTGTGATGGTAGTGGTGGTGATGGTGATGGCGATGACAATGGTGACGGTGATTGTGGTGATGGTAATGGTGATGGTAATGATGATGGTGATGATGATGGTGATGATGATGGTGATGATGGTAGTGGTGAAGATGGTGTTGGTGATCTTGATGTTGGTGATGGTAGTGTTGGTTATGATGATGATGGTGATGATAGTGTTGGTGGTGGTAGTGGTGATGATGTGGTGGTAATGCTTGAAGCTGGTGGTGGTGGTGATGATGTTGGTAGTGATGATGGTGATGATGGTGGCGATGGTAATGGTGATGGTAATGTTGGTGATGATGGTAATGACAGTGATGGTGGTGATGATGACGACAATGATGATGAGCCACCCACCGGGCGCGACCCTTGGCCCGAGGGCGCCCCAGAAAGGCCTCCCGCAGCCTCTTCTCGTGGCACACTGGGCACAGAGGAGGGCAGGCGTCGCCGCAGAAGCCGGCGCACGCGTGGCCACAGGCGAGCTTCTTCTGGCACGGCTGACCGCAGGGGCCCTTCCCACAGGGGGCACTGCACTTGCTCTGGCATCTGTGGTGCCGGCACGACCACTGGCATGGTTTCTGGGGAAGAGAGGCACATGCAGTAAATCTGTTAGTGTGTGTGTGTGTGTGTGTGTGTGTGTGTGTGTGTGTGTGTGTGTGTGTGTGTGTGTGTGTGTGTGTGTGTGTGTGTGTGAATGTGTGTGAATGTGTGTGAATGTGTGTGAATGTGTGTGTGTGTGTGTG